TGGGGATCGATTGGAGCAGGCAGGGGAAACAACAAAAGGTTCATCATCGGTCGCGTTAGAGTTTAATGATATTTCAAAACTGATCAAAAATAAAAACTGGTCCCACGTACCTTCTCAGTAAACACGAAACAACTTAGTAAGGCTGCACATTGTTCGGGAGAAAGATCGTTGAACGCGCCATTAAATATCAACTCGGTCAACAGGAGCTCATCTCCGGAAGAAATTTCACATGCGACCCTTCCCTTGACTTGCACGATGTCATCAACGTTACAAAATCCTAGACTCCTCAGTACCGTCTTGCGCTTCTTCAAGTCTTCGATGTAAATCACATTTTCCGCATTCGAAATCTTCTGTTTGATCTGTTTGATCAGTTGATATACTTGTTGCTTTTCTTGGTAAAGTTTATACTGGTCGTGGAAATCTTCTTGGGTGATCACTTTGTGATCCTTAATCGACTCCTTCAGGTTCTCTATCCGGCTGATCAGTTTCTTGAACGTCTCATCGACGATCCCCATGTTTTCGACCGGGTCGAGCAATCCGATACCGTTGGGGAACCTTCGCTTGACTTCTGCAACTGCGTCCAGAGCGCCTTTCCTAGCATCCATTGGTTTCAGATCTTGGGCCAGGAAGATTCGGATCTTCGAGATCCCATCCAGAGTGGATAAGAGGACCGGAACGACCGCGCATTCACCCTCTTCTCCTGGCTCACAGGGTTTGACGAGACTTGTTTGGTTGCCACCAATCATCTTCGAGGGAGGCTGCTTCGGACCCGACTTCCCGGCTGAGATCTTCAATAGGACGTCGACAATGAAGCTGTCCTGTGGTTTTGTCTCAGGCCCAAGTGATTTTCCTCGATCCCCTAATCTTCGTTGGAAATTCACCACACATCCCCATCCAAAATCCATCGTTCCAAACTTCACCTTAACTAATCTTCCTGGTTGCAGGAAAGGAAGCGCATGGGTCGGATGGTTAATCACATCCCTAAAATCTTGATTTCGGATTTCTAGTTCTTCTTGTAGCTTGGCATAATCCGCAATTGATTCTTCATCTGGAACAACGATCTTCGATCGCATCCTTTGGAGCTCCCGGAGCTCTTTTTGACCATCAACCGTGCCAAAAGGAAAAAGGTTGAGGAAAGAACCGTGAATACAAGTGCTGGAAGAAAAAGGAAGATAAATAGTAAATCGTCTATGAGGACTGACCGTTTTCTAACAGCGGCAAGTTGGCATGTGTTTGAAATTGAAAGAAACATTTTTCCAGCATGTATTCAGGACTGACGCCCTCAACTCTCATCAGATTGAGAATCATATTGTATCCCAAGTGGAAAGCAGAATCCAAACGATCGGCGTCACCCTTTACCATATTTTTAGCAGTAGCGGGTTCAAGTTGTTCATCACACATCATGATGACGATCCCTCGGTCATCCAGTCCTCGACGACCAGCTCGTCCAGACATTTGAATGTATTCACCCGAGCTCAAACTCCTGAAGTCTTTCCCGTCGAACTTTCGGACGGTGGTGAAGACGACAGTTTTGGCTGGCATGTTCAAGCCGATCGAGAAGGTTTCGGTAGCGAATAAGACTTTGATCAGCCCTTCTTGGAACAGGATCTCGATGACCTCCTTGAGGATCGGCAGTAGACCACCATGATGGATCCCAATCCCTCGTTTCAGAAGTGGTAAGATATGCTCGATCTGTGGTAAGGCTTGATCGTCTTCAGACAAGTTAGAGATCGCGTTCTTGAAGACCGTGTCGACTGTCTCTTTTTCTTCTTCTGAGTTGAATTCTAGCTTGGACATTTGAATCGCTAAAGCCTCGCACTCTCTCTTGGAGAATGCGAAGACGATGACTGGATTGTAATTCTTGACCATGATCATCTTGATGATCTTGTAGATATCTGAAGGGCCTTTGGTCGAGTTGCCGCCTTTCTTGGTCTTGCCCTGCTTGTTTCGACCAGACATCGAGCTCGCAGGATCTTCACCTCTCGAATCGTTCAAGGAGCCCATCGCTTTTAAGAAGTTATCCTCGCGAAAGACGCCCTTCTCGTCGACGACCAAATGGATTCCGTCGCCTCCAGATGGGAATAAATAGTGCTGTAATGGGGTTGGTCTGAAGTTGGTGTAAACTACGTGACAGGGTTGATCGTGGGTATGACAAATCCATTCGGCAAATTGCATCGCGTTAGGTATTGTGGCTGATAGGAATACATATCGAACCGAATGGGGTAAAAGAATGATAGTCTCCTCCCAAACTACTCCTCTTTCTGATGCGATAAAAAAAACAAATGGATTAACTTCCTTGAATGCTAGTATAGAGAAGACCGTTTGAAGTGACCAGTTACCTTTGTCGCGCATATAATGAATTTCATCAAAGATCACCCAAGCCACTTCTCTCATTACTTCTGAGCCACGATACAACATAGACCGTAAAATCTGTTGCGAATGATTCAATCAGCCACTTCTTCACGATGCAGCTTTCTTGCCTTTTTTTTTTGTTATGTTAGGAGGAGTAGACGTGTTTTTTTTTTGCACTAACCTCAGTTGTCATGACTAGACATGATGCACTTGGATTGATGGTCACATCCCCAGTCATCAAGCCGACATCCCCAAACTCGGCCATCAATTCACGATACTTTTGATTACTAAGAGCCTACAAGAGAAAAGAGAGCAATTATATGAATGAAAATTCCAGTTTCAAAAGATCCCCAGGATTGACATACCTTGATAGGAGAGGTGTAGATGACCCTCTGTTTGTTTTCGAGACATTGGGCAATAGCATATTCGGCTACGACGGTCTTACCAGCACTAGTATGAGCTGAGACGAGTACGCTCTCGTTGCGTTGGATTGAGGTGATCGAGACCTGTTGGAAGGGATCGAGTGTGAAGGGATACGTCCTAGCCGGCTTGCTTGGAGCTCGATGGGCCGAGATGGGGATGTAGTTGTAATTGGGTGGTAGGGCCACTTGGTGACGAACTTGATGGGAGAGTGTTAGTTGTTGTGGTTTCTCTTCTCCTGTGCCAGGCTGTTCTGGTAGGAGTCCATTGCTTGCATCGATCTGCCTGGCTGCTTCCGTTTGAAATTCATCTGCCACTAGCACTGGTTGTTGGCTTGGGAGGGTCTTGGTGGCTCGTTCATGTTTAGCTTGTTGTTGTTGATCTGATGATGGCGAACTGACTCTGCTCCGTTTGGGTGATGATAAGTTGGCAGGTTGAGTGGCTATGGTTGTTGATGATGGTCCTCGTTTCTTGCTATTATTGCTGGTTTCCATTGTTGTTGTTGTTGTTGCTGTTGCTGTTGTTGCTGTTGTTGTTGTTGTTGGTCTTGTTCGAGGTTGTTGGTGCTGTGGTGCGAAAGTGTGCCAGTTATTTGTTTGGGCGAGAGTTGTGTATCCAAAGTGGGTTTTGTTTTTGTTTTTGTTTTTGTTTTGAATAAAATCCATTCATTTTCGATCGGGTTCACCGAGCCCCCCAGACCTCGTCCTCCGTTGTTGTTTGCTGGGGTTTCGATTGATCAAGATTTGCTTAAGAGTAGTCCAAACTAATAGAGGCGTGTTCATAATGAGAAAATCTCACAAAATGTTCAAAATAGGGATGAAAGGTTGGGCTCATCCCCATTTCATCAGTGTGACCTGAAGATTTCTTAACCAAATAGCTGTATACTTTTTTCTCATTCCTCACAGTCACAACATCCATGTGGCGCCCCTGCGGTCCTGATGATATGAATTAATTCAAAGATGGTACTCTAAAAAGTGAAGTCAAAGCAAGCTGCTGCACAACGGAGCTGTACTTAATTCCTCATCTCACTTGCTGGAAATAAGATGTCCAAGGGTCTTTTATCTTTAACATTATTCAAAGTGGAAAGGTCGAATTACTCAGACCTCTCTGGGGATTTGGGATCACTTGAATCAAATTCAATGGTTACCCAAGACAAGGTCTACAATGGGGTTACTTGCACTAGCAAAATATTTTTTTCGATTGATTGATTTCTTTCCATAAGACTGGAGGACTTTCTGAAGTGTAAAATTTGTTGATTTACAACAAAATCCTGATTATCCTCTGCTAATGAGAATTAATTGAGATCAAGTCTTCACCAGTCAATCAAGGTAGCAACTCCTTCTAAGTTAAGTAATTTGGGCCATGGGAAGTGATCCAATATATTTCAGATACTTTCTAAAAATATTTACTAATACTAGCTATTCATGAGCTTTATAATTTTGTTTTAATTTTATCCTTGAAACATTATGATACGTGGTTTCTTTGTTGTTGAGTGTTTCTGTTGAGCGTGATGTAATCCAACAAATCTGACATGTTTTCATTACCAAAAAAAAGTGAAGATCAATTGTCTGGTTATTTTGTAACTTGTAGGGTTGGGTTGAGTGGTACCAAGCATCATGGATTCTCATTAGTCTCGTGAACGAGTTACCATTTTACAATTGTGAATGTGTGGCCCCTGTCATAAAGCCTCTGATTTTATCCAGCTTTCTCATCTGGCACAGTGCATCTGCTTCGTGTGTGGATAACGTAGGTTCCTTGTGCAGCGCACCGCGCAGCCAAGAGTTCCCTACTTACCAGAATTTACAGGCCATGATCATGTGTTTAACCGGTGAATTTTCACAGATCTCGGCAAAACTCAAGATGGACTTTTAATCGTCGAGCCCTTGAGTGCTGCGTTATTCAACCCCACCTTGAGGCCACAAGTTTCGGATGTGATAAAAGATTGATTCGCTGAGACAATGATCACGAAAAAATCTATCAAGGATAGTCAGCCTCTGTTGACATTCCTGCCAGCTAAAAGTTTCTCCCATCGTCTTGACACATTGTAAATTTCAGCAGCCAGCCTCAACTCTAATATTGGGATCAATGAAGTTTCAAAAATTCATTTCTAGCATACTTCCAATATTTTCCTCAAGTTTGATAACTAACTTGGTAAATAAATATTCCATCTGAAGGTCATATTGTCTTACCGAAAGAGAACTGTATGCTGAAGAATATTCTAATCTTCTATGCCTCAAAAGCTTCCACAAGCAGCAGCTCTTGTTCCTGCATCAAAACATATTGCCACTGAAGAAGTTTTTTCTGAAGCCAGAGATCTGCCGAAAGACAAAGAATTGTTCGAACATTCGACCAGTCACGACCTGTCAGGTTCTCTCAAGTCCGTACGTCTCTCTGAGATCTTGTACCATTTGAACCAAAGCTACCCATGATTCATCTTTCTGGGTTGATTTTGTTGAGTTGATTGAATTCTTTCCTAATTTTCTTGCCGTTGGCTCTATCAGGAAGAATCTAGCAAGTGTGCAATTTGTCAAAAGAACCTGGGACGGGAGGGTGTCAAAAAATTACAGTGCGGTCACACCTTTCATCAGACTGGCTTGGATCGATGGGCTCTAGAGAACCCTGTATGTCCATTGTGCAGAGAGAAAGATCACAGTCTTGTGATACAGCATCAAGAGCATAAATCGCTTCAAGAAGCAAAAGAACGTGAGAGGCAAATAGAAGAACAGAATCGGATACAATTGCAGAATGAGAGAGCCAGACAGGAAGAGATTACGAGAGATATTTCTTATGTAGGTCATTATTGTCTTGTGCATTTAAAACGGCGCAGAAAGCTAGCTGAAATGCGTTTATAATCTGGGTAATGGGACGGGCCTAGCAAGACGGTGATTGTTTGATTTGTTCAACGCGAGCTGTTCCCTCTAATCTCGATTCCCCATACTGCCCAGGTTGTGGCAAACCCATCCATGAGCTCTGCTTGAACAGATGGCTCCATGGATCGACGACTTACATATGCCCAGCGTGTTCAACCGATTATTTAAAATGGCACCAAGATCAACTATCTGATGATATAGACCTGGAAGCGCAAGAGCACGATGCCCTAACGCACCTAACGGACCACGAAGGGCAAGGTCAGGCGCACCTGTTGCGGGATTCCTCTGCATTTTCATCGTTGGTCTCATCCAGGAAACGCATGCGTAAATAACCCTTCCTTCTTATGAACAAACTACGAAAAGAGCATTCCAATTCCAATTACTCCTGCCATCACTACCTCAGGTGAATACGCCTTGGAAAATGATTGGGAAGGCTCGTCTTTAGCATCATCTTCTTACGCCAACAAACAACGGGCTCGTGAGTTTCCCTTCTCCATCATGACGGCTGCATTTCCACGCCAGCAGAGCTATAAGAGAGCTAAGACTCAATGCCTTCATTTTCCACTCAAGGTGAGGATCCAACGAGGGAGGATCACGACTTTGATGGCTCTGAGTAGAATGTCACATAAGATTCCACTAGTCAGGAAACATTAGCAAAATGGAGAAAGAAATCAGTGTTTCTACATACTTCACAATATTCTTCCCCAAAGCCAGATCTCCAAGGGAACATTTTCATCTTCTTTTGGCACTTTTCCATTACTTTGGGTTCATAAATTCAGGACCAGTGTTTCTGATCTTATCTTATTTTCACCCCCCTTACATGGCTTAATTTTGATCATTGACTGTAACCATCAAGGTAATTTATTTATTCATTTTGATTCAATATGATGTTGGAAGGGTTTTATCCTTCAAGATTCATCAAAAAAATCTTGACCCAGCTTCTTTTGGCCCCAAAAATTAATATAAAATAATCTTCATGTATATTAATATTTCCTACCAATCACCTATGGCTCAGGATGCAAGTGGGCCGGGTTTGCGCCAAAAAACAGTGCCCAAACCCTCCCCGCACAATACCCCGGGTCGAGGCGGGTCATGTCAGGATTGAAAATAAGTTGTCCATGCCCGCCCTGATGTTAAGGCAGGCAGGTCCGGGGTGGTTGTGTCTGACCCAAGCCTCTATAGATAATTAAAAATAATTGGTCTAGGTGATGAGTTGGGTCTGTAGAAGGGGGATCTTGCAATACCAGAATGAGAGTCTCCAAATCTCATTCAGAATTGATGGCAGTTTGACTGCTAGTAGTGAATTTGGTTGTACTCAATGCCATAGCAGTTAAATTCCCTGAATGAGGGCGCTTTTTTCCTCACAGCCTCTTGATTTTTGCCGTTAAAACTAATAAGGTTGTTGAAAAATTCAGAGGGGTGCTGTAGAGTCCAAGAAGGGATGATGAGGATATCACATCCTATAATCCTCATATCACCCCCCCATATGGTTGGGCCATTGGGCAAAATTGGGGCCAGCCCAAGTAGATACTGGGATGTCTGTACCTGCCCCACTGACCTGTCGGTTCACTATCAGGCCAGGTCACTTTTTATTCAGAACATGTCCAAACCCGCCCCACAACCTCATGGCGGGTCTTGGGCACCCACCGGGCCAGGGCAGCCCACTTGCATCCTGACCTATGAGGCTATGGCCCACATTTCAGATATTCTACAATAATTTGTAGGTCAATTTTTCTCATTCCATTTCATCAATGAAACAAGACTCATTTAGATTACAAAAGATGGATCCAGCCAAAATCAAATATAAATGCCACATTTTTCTTGAACATAAGTTGCTATGCAACAGAGATGAGATGAGACAGTATCAGGTGTTTATTTGTATTGTCCCAGAATTTGAATACCCAAAAATACTGTATTTGTGTTGTATCACTTTCCTGAGACAATACACATGTATTGTCTTTGGAAAGTGAGACAAGTATTCTGTACTGTCTCAGATGACTGATCCCACCAAAAACGTCTTTGATACACAAGATATTTGGCCGTATTGAAGAAAAAAAACGAAGACAATTTTGTTTTTTTCATTTGTAAATCCAAATCCAAGACAATGGATTTTCTCACCAACCAAGGAAATACTGATACCCGTATCAGGCACAAAATCAAGACAATATGATTTGATACCAATACATTTCTTGTATCTGTTGCACCATTGATACTAGTATATGTCACCAACTTTGGGGAGTGTGGCATGGTGATACATATTGTTTTTGCCCCAAATGATGATGTTTGTCCATTTTAGGGGTGTTGCTTGAATTGAGAACCGGTCAATTGGTCTAATGTTGCCATTGACAGCTGTGAATTGGAGGTTGATGCCAGTGTTAGATTGCATCACACTTTGTTTGGCTCTCTGAGCCTATTCTTTTAGTTATATGTAGATGCTTGGGGGAGTAATAAACACACTCCTCCCCTTTGCGCATGCACTCCCACACTCCCCCTCAGAAGGGGAGTGTGGGACCGCACACCAACCAGCTTGTTGGGAAGGATTCCTCCCAACAAGCTAATATTTAAATCAGCTCTTCAGAAGGAATCCCTTCTGACAAGCTAGTACATAATCCAGCTTGTTGGAAGGGATCCCTTCTGACAAGCTGTTAGTTGAAGCGGCTTGTTGGGAGGAATCCCTCCCAACAAGCTGGATTCTGTACTAGCTTGCCAGAAGGGATTCCTTCCAACAAGCTAGTATTTCTCCCAGCTTGTTGGGAGGAATCCCTCCCCATGCTGGGAGATTGCTCCACCTCAAGGTTGGAGGAATTCCTCCAACCTTGAGACCTTACACAAGGCTGAGAGGAGGTTCCTTTTGGCCTTGAGACTGTTGGAGGTCTCAAGGCTGGGAGGAAACCCTCCCGGCCTTGAGATTTTGTTTGATTTTTGAGCTTCTGACAGGCTGCGGAGGAAGATATTGAGAAAATGGCACAAAAAATATGAGAGTCTTTTTTGGGAAAGGTTCACAGAAAAAGAGTGTGCAGAACTGATAGTTTTTTATTGACAATTAACAAGCCCGGATTAAATCGAACTTATCAAAGTCCGCGTCCCTGCTGCGGCGTGGGGCACTGTAGCCGCTGGTCGAGTGTGCAAGCACTAGGGACTCTCCCGCAGGCAGAGGACTTAGGAATAATCAGCCATCATGGCCCAACAGCATCTCCAAGCTTTGGTGGCACAGGATGTTGTGGGCACCTGCAGGCCTTAATTTTGAACAAGTTTTTTCTTTTTCTTTTTCATAGTTTAAACTTTGTATTTTTATTTATCAAACAGCCAATTCAGAACCCGAAATCTATGTCCCTATGATGATCAAATAAATTCATGAAACTTTTAGTTTCTTGAATTTCCATGGCCGCTTACTAGCAAAGCCATGGGTTTTTTGGATGGCTCTTTTTTTCAAAGAACCGCTCTTTTTTTCTATCCTTTTTGCCTTTCAGCTCAACGGCATTTAATTCAAGTAATAAGATCTCTCTCTCCCAACCCAACGGATACACTCCCTCCTCGCACATATAACCACCCGACACCATTCAAGATCAAGCTGGCGAGAGGTCGAAGAATTCATCAGATGGCCGTCGCAACGTCCTTGTCAACCGCCCATCCAAAGACATTACAAGAACCTGGACAATTGTTCGATGTTTGACAATCGCATGCAAGTGTTCATCATCCCAATCACCTGGCTCACTGTCGGTTCGCAATTCTGAAGCGACTTGATCTTGGTCGCTTCGCAATTCCGACCGCTTTCCAAAGAACTCAACGTTATTTCTATTTACTTTTTTCCTTTTGTGTTGATCTTTTTTGCTTTTTTTTCTCGGTCAATCGGTCTTGCACTTCAATCTCTCTCTCTAGTTATGAGTAGTTTTTCCACATGTTGTTCATTTAATTTGAGGTATGGCATTATACTTCAAAGGCCGATTGGCCCATTCACATTTTAATGGATCAATAGACAAAACATTATAGGTCCAGTAAAATTACAAGAAATGACCAATTTCAAAAAAAGATAGAAAAAAAAACAAATGGTACCGGGATGAAAGTGAACAGACATGATTGTAGATAGGATGCCAGCGCTCAGCTGGGATAGGGTAGTGAGAGCAAAACATTAAACATATAATTTACAATTTGAAGCAAAGAAAAGCTACGCTTATTTTTGAGGAGCTCTTGCGCGGGCTCCTCAATCTTGGTCATAAGCCTCGCTTGCACCTCACGCCTACGGGTGGTCGCGGGCTTTGTTACGCTCGGGATTAAATAGACTAGATACAAGTGCCAGAAAAATGGTTGAGTCTAAATTGAATAAAAATATAATATTGAATAAAAACCAAGAGAAAGAATTATTTGAGTTCTTGCAAGAAACAATCTCAGCCGGACATCTCAGTCTCTTTTATTCATGTAAGAAAGGTTAATCAATAAAAGAAGAAATTCGATCACAAATATGCAGAGGAATTGATTCTAAATAATCAGTTTTTAAGAATCAAATAATGAAAATAGAAAAAGAAAGAAGCCAATAATTAAGACAAGAGTTGTTGATAAATTGCTATTGGTAGTTCTAATTAGACTACTAAGATTCATAAGATTCAACAAAAAACCAGCTATGAAAAACTATAATTCAGTCTATTTCAAGCTGATTCAAGAAAGGAGAAGGGGAGAAAAAATAGAGAAAAGAGGAAGTGATTTTGGGGAAGAGTAGGCCAGAAAGGTGAAAACTCAACAGATTGTACAGTCTCTGGGAGGGGGAGGGACCCCCTCCCAGCCATGTTTTTTTCTCCTTTTTTGCAAACCTGATCTAAATAGCCTCCATGGGCTATTGGCTATCCCATAGGACCCAGGCATGGGTCCTATGGGATGTCCCGGGGGCTAAACACATGCCCCTGCAGATTGGCATGTGGGGATGCACACAAATCTGGGTTGGTGTGCGGTCCCACACTCCCCTTCTATTCTCCATCAACAATTCCCCTCTTTGTCTCCTTCTGACTAAGCTTCTTCTCCTCCCTCCTTCTCTATATTCTCTCTCTCATCTCCCTTCTCGCTCACTCTCATTGGTGTTGACTACACGTCATATCAAGCTCAATACAACTTCCTCTCATTCTTATTCTGCTGACTCTCTCTCTTGAAATACTTATCTGGCTATTGCCAATTTGGTGAGAAAACATTGTCAGAATTCTCTGAATCTTGTGAATTCAAACATTGACCTATTTCTTTGTACCTTCTATTTTTTTCTTGCTCCAAAACAGTGTCCATCACTTGTCTTTGTTTGATCTCATTTATTGTGGTCTTTCTATTCTGTCTAAGTCAAAAGACAGCTCTACTCGTGGTAATTCTCTTTTTCATTTGTCTTCATTTCATTGATTCTTCTTGTTTCTCATTACTTATGAATTATAACTCATGTTGTTTGTGTGTTAGTTCTGGTTCTATTTTCAGTAATTATTCATGTTTATCATCAGCTGTGATACGTACAAATTATGCTCCTGGGACCTCATAGTTTTCAAACTTGAGCCAAGAAAACCAGCAAAAGAAAAAATAAAAAAAACTTTCAAATCCTAGTAAAATAGAAAAATCTAAAAACCTACTTTTATTTCCTCTTTTAAGAAAT